CCTACCCCACTCGGAAAAGCTGTGAAGCACAAGGCAAGGTGGGGACAGTAAGTGAACCACCCTGGGGCAGGCCTTGAGGGAGCACAGGGAGCTGAACTTCCCAACGAAAATGTAAAGAATATTTTAATCTACACGTGTTAAAACTGCAAATGTGTTCGGGTGAGCTGGCAGGTGCAGAGTTTACAGACTGCCTACGCCTCAGCCAGGACTCGACGGCTGAAAGATGAGGCAGTCGAAGCAGCTTTTGAAAAGGGAGTTGAGAAAATAGTTTTTGGAGCTTTGCCAAGGGCAGGATTCAGCGGAAGCTACCCTGACTGCGCTGGGTCTGCCTCGATGACGTGAGACTGCGCTCGTCTGGGATATGGGGCTAAGGAACGGCCTCTTGCCCCACTTCTGTCCTCGTGCCTGCAGGAAGCAGGAGCTGCCCTCGGGAGATGCTCCTTGCCACGGGATGCTCGCTTTGGCCCAGGCCAGCCTACAGACGCGTTCCAAACCCATTTCAGAAAGGCAAAATTCTTGTGCACTAGAAGCAGTCTTTGGACACGCACAGTCATGTTGCCAAATCCAAGGGGGAACAGAGGGAGGAAAACGAACCCTCGTGATCAGATCCACAATGTTCTTTAACCTTTACAACATAAACAACACGTTTTAAACTTTATTTTTGCCCTTAAACTGTTGAGCCTGCTCCAGACGGGATCACTCTGCATCATTCATGAGCTCAAGGAACTCTTTTGAATAAAGCACTAATTGCTTCTCCCCCCCCAGAGCTGCCTTTGCGCTGCACCCGAGGAAACCGCTCCGTCCTCCCTCTAGGCCGTCTCAGCAGGTGCGACAGGGCACGCCATGGCGTGTCTTCAGGTACCGAAAACCCGTCCGTGTGAGCCTGCTGAAGGGGGAATTCAGGGCGTTCGTGGGTAATAAACAGCGCTGTTGCATGGAACGTGGCATCTATAATACACCACACCTTCACCTCTCTGCTTTTCCCTTAAATGTCAGAAAAACACTCACTAAAAGAGTTTAAATATGAACTTCACAGGCCACCTAGGCAGGAGAATTATTTGTTCTTAATTCCAAATTGCTCTTTTCAGCGTTCTCAATTGCCTCGTTTAGAAAGGATCAAGTATCTATCTACTTTTGGAAAGGTGAACAGCTCAAGGAACGGATTAACACGGACCCTTCGACACCTCCCTCGAACTGACCTTGGCACGGACTGTGACAGCAGCCGTTGGCATCGCTGCGGCTGGAGGGATGCCGGCCGGAACGTCAGACGTCACAGCCCTGAGAAGAGCAGTTTCCAGTTCAGGAGGACAGTCTGCATTCAGACAGACCCGAGAACTCTGGAACGCAGTAAATACTCAACCTCAAATCTGGGTCATCACTGAGAACACGGCAGGTGGTTCTAATACAGAACTACATTGCAGACTACAGCAGGATTCCCATTCTTAGCATTTCTGTATGCTAAATTACAGTTCTCAGGCCTCAAAGCAGCTGTGAAACCACACGCACGACACGTCCATCTATGCTCCCTGTATGCCACTACTCGTGGAAGAGAGCAGCTTTCCCTCGCAATTATCTATAACCCAGAAAGGTCAAGACATGAGCTGATGTGGAAACCTGAAAGTCACTAGTATAGTGGGAGGAAAACTGTATCCCTACTATTTTTCCCTGCTCACTGTCTAAATTCACACTGTTTGAGAAAACATGAAAGCAACTTCTGCAAAAGCTGATCTCTGCTCTCCAGAGTTCTCCCTCCGGGGTACTTGGTTTTATTAAAAATTCCACCCCAGACCTCCGATCCCACTAGTCGGTTCTATAGTTTTGCAAGCACTAGGAGGGTTTTGAAGTCAAGTTTTATAAAATAAAAGTCCCCAGTCAGATTTCTAAGTCTTCTAAAATAAAACCTGCACTCAGGACTACTATTTCTGTAACACAACTGAAGGGGAAGCAGACTTGGAGAAAACCTAGTAAGAAAAGGAAAGCAGCTTTTCAGTGGGAATTACAGGTACAACACGCAGTTTCACCTTCTTCCAGCAACTTTAACTTCACTGTTAACGAAGTGGAAACTGTAATCAGGTTCTTAATTTTAAGACGAAAAGCCAGGATTAGAGTCTTCCTTGTCCTACCATTAATATAACCATGTGAAATGTGGTTGGAAAAGCCACGTTTAATAAGACTGTTTAAGCCGCAACAGACGTAATTCTCAAGCCTTCCAACTCTTTTAACAGTTAAAGGGGAAAACTCCAGTCTAGGGACTAAATTGCCAAACACAATTAGATGCTGCTTTACGTCATCACAAGGTGTTGGAGCCTGACGCTTGGTATTCCACCACGTAACAGGATTCTGGGAGTTACAGGGGTAAGAGGAATACTGCTATCAAACAGAAAACCAAAGAACTCGGGTCTCTGCAACCGAAATACCTATGTTAACGTCTGCAGAAACAGAACTGGAATTTAGAAGCTCTACAGTCAGCTTCTCCCAACCCCTTCATTTAAAAGGCTGGACAGCATTTGAGACCTTTCTATTAATTTAACCAAAACTGTACAGAGCAATCAATTTTTGCATTTCCAAAATACTTACCTCAAAGCGATCAAGAAAAAACCCTCTTTCTCCCCTTAAAGCCACGTGACAGGCACCTCCTTTGCCCACAACAGGCTTCAGTAGCTCTATCAAGTTGTTTTGCAACAATATTTGTTCTATATGAAGTGACACCCGCTGACCATTTCTTTTCAGTAGTCAGTTTTACTGAATAAATCACAACTTTATGCATATATTAGCTGGCCAAATGAACCTAAAATTCCAGCCAGCATCAGATCTTTTCCAGTAAAGAATTTACAGAGTAGATTTATTTTATAGACACACGGAATTTTACAAATGTGTGTATACATACACTTGTGACTGTACAGGTCTCTGCTATATCTGGCACTTCTAGACACGTGGAAGGTAAGCAGGTGCCTACAGAACTGTAAACGAGTATGAAAGTCTTGTGTATTGGAATGGTTTTCCCCCTGACTACTGCCCAAGGAAAGAGGCCATGGGATCGTCAGGTCTCTGCCGTTTCATTCTGTAGGCTTCCATTTCCTCTTCTGTTGGCTCCCTGGGTTCGTATATGCTGTTGTATGGTCTCTTCCTCTCATCTAACTGCATGATTTCTTTAACATGGAGAAGACGAGCCTCTTCTGCATTTAGTGCCTGGAATGAGAGCAAAGAAAACCAAACACCCACAATGAATGTTAAGGGAAAAAAGCCCAAGGCAAGTCCGTATGAGATTCGGGTGTAACGAACAAGCAGCTGGCAGAACGGGGGGACACGCAATGCACACCTACAGCACGCTTCATCCACCGCTCAGTTGGTAGCGTTTAACATAATGGCATTCAGGAAACAAGATACTTTAACCCCTTTCCAGTTGCCCAGATCAAGCAAGAAAGTCGTTGGCTTTACCTAAAACGTAATCATGACCCAGCAGGACAAAAGCAGGTAAGGAAGCGTGTGATCTCAGGGGTCTGGGTTTGCTTGCTGGGTTGTTGAGGGGGGGTTTTCCAGTCATAGAATCACAGAATCACAGAATGGTTTGGGTTGGAAGGGACCTTAAAGATCATCCAGTTCCAACCCCCTGCCATGGGCAGGGACACCTTCCACTAGACCAGGTTGCTCCAAGCCTCATCCAGCCTGGCCTTGGACACTTCCAGGGATGGGGCATCCACAGCTTCTCTGGGCAACCTGTCCCAGTGCTCCCCACCCTCTCCAGGAAGAATTTCTTCCTGATATCTAATCTAAACCTCCCCACTTTCAATTTAAACCCGTTACCCCTTGTCCTGTCACTACAGACCCTTGTAAAAAGTCCCCCTCAGCTTCCTTGTAGCCCCTTCAGGCACTGGAAGGTGCTATAAGGGCTCCCTGGAGCCTTCCCTTCTCCAGGCTGAACAAGCCCAACTCTCTCAGCCTGTCCCCATAGCAGAGGGGCTCCAGCCCTCTCAGCATCTTCGTGGCCTCCTCTGGACTTGCTCCAACCAGCCTATATCCTTCTGATACTGAGGGCTCCACAACTGGACGCAGTACTCCAGGTGGGGTCTCAGTCAGGGTGCATTTATTTTTTTTTAATGGTTTTTGAAATACGTTATCCCACTCCCCAAACTACTACTGTTGCTCCTGAAAAGAAGTAGCCATTGTACACTGCTTTGATTAGCCACAGTTTAGCACTAGTTTCACACCCGGAGGCAGGCTGCTGTGCTTGTGGAAGGGCTGCTCAGCAGCAGGCAGTAACAGTGCCTTTGATCTGCCCATCCATCTTCAACACCCAAATCGTTGTGTTCTGCAATGTCCTTTACAAATCTATGGCTGTCACAGGTGCCTAGGTTCTAAATCTTCTCAACCAAGTCTTCCAAAGCTAAATATTCATTGCGTGTTTGCCCAAGAAACAGGGGATGTCCTTCACAACATCTAACAGCATTTTAAATTGGGGTTAGCTCAAGATTAGCATCAAAGAACATCCCCAGAGTACCACAAGAACTGCATTACAGGCTTCAGAAAACTGACATTGTTGTAAAATATTTTAAGATCTTTTTGCCACAAAACCACTGAAGAGTATAGTTCACCTTTTTAAGTTTTTCTTGCTTCTTTTTCTCTTCACCCTCACTATCTGAATTTGAGCTCTTCTTGCGCTGTTTCTTCTTCTTCTCTTTCTGTTTCTCTTGGTGGATCTGTAAGGTGGAAAACCAGCTACTGTTAAGATTCAACTTGCAAACGTCAGTAATGCTCAAGCCACTAAATGCCACGTGTCTCATGAATGCTGAGAGCACAGTTAGCAACACAGTTCTGACCCAGTAATGCAGTCTAATAATTTTCAGACTCGTCATGACTTACATGCTTTTCGAGTTACACCTATCTTTCCATCTCCTAAAATGCTGAGGAAAAAGATCTGCCTTCCTGAGACAGGGAAACAGCCTACCTCCATCAGTGTTTTGGGTTTTGTCATGTGTTCTTCCTCCCTGGGTTCCTCTTCCAGTAAGCTTGCTTCAGTATTCTGTGCAACAGACAGGGGAAGGATACCCATTTATGAAGCACCTTGGAAAGGGGAAGGACAAAGAAAACCCCCAACCCCACCCCAAACCCAAAACAGTCTAAAATTTAGGTAGGAAGACAACTGCTTTTTAGCTCTTTCCAAATGACTACGTAAGACAATACTCACAGCAATTTCTTTCCCAGCTTCTCCTGTACAGTACGAGTACTTTACAAATGAGTGGCAGCATTTGTAGCCCCACTTGCCTTCTTTCCAGTAAGAACCCCAGATGCACTGCAAGAGAGAACACCACAGCACTCACCAGAGGCAAGCTGCAATTTACTCTTGAGGTTATATCCTGCTAAGCAAGTTATTCAAACAATCCAGAGGGAAACTCATGAGAAATATGTCTGCAATTCTACATTAGCATTACAGGTACAGTTTCACAAGAGAAAAGCAACAGGATGTTGTCAACTCATATTCAAAGTCGAAGGGAAACACGGTAACTTCCTCTTCAGTTTAAGACTGCCACTGCAACCATGACAACTCGGAATTCATCCTTAGTAGGAAAGGGATAGTGTCCTATTTGAACCAGGAGACATCTGTGTGCTGCATCCATTATACTGTGCTGTAGCCAACCATCCTGCATCCCCTTCCAGTGGGAAGGAATCCCATTTTCAAATAATTTTTAAGTAAGCTAGGGCTTACTGTGTGGTTGTTGATCTTCACGTCCTCTTCATATTTAGAGCAAGCAATAGCTTTCTCTTGCCCTTTGATGACCGTTCCATGCCTGGAGTACTCCACGTAATCTTCTGTCTGAGCTAACAGCAGTTCAGCTGGCGGGGCATCTAGATGTTCTTGTCCTCCGTACTAAAATGCACACAGAAATGACAGACAGTCGTTTCACAAAAACCCCCCCTTCGCTGCCGTTAAGTGTACATTTCAAAACCTTCAGTACCTTCTGAAGACGGCAAGAGAAGTGGGTGGAGACAATTTAATCTTCAGTGAATAGTTAAGACAGAAAACATCTCCCCCTACAGCCACTGTGGTGGTGGTTTTTTTGTTTGGTTGGTTTTGTTTCATATGTTCTGTTTTAAACGCCTGGAAGGTTACAACAGTGCTATTCCTCACTCAAAGCAGGAAAACTCCTCAGACCAAACCAAAAGGCTCTGGTGTAACCAGAGCAGTACTTCCTGTCCCCCTCCAAACTTGAATGTTGACAAGGTTAGAATTTAAACGGGTTATTTAGTTCTTTACTGGCTAAAGAAGAAACCAGTAGCAAAATATAGAATATTGATCTAGAAGACTGCACCCACAACTCCAGCCTGAAAACTCTACTTTTCACATTTAAGAAAAATGTAAAAATAATTTTGGGAGACAGTTACTTGGGTATTTTACGAAAGATACCACTTTTAAACAGCAAAAGAATTTTTTCAACTACTTGTATAATTTAAAAGAAAGAAAGAAAAAAATCTAAATTCCCACTCCTACACAGTGCTGTCAGATTTTTCACTGGAGAAATTCTGACAGTTAAAGGAAGAGCTCCCAATAATCCAAAGAAGTACCAGCAGATCTTCAAAGGTTCCTCTATTAAATAACATAATGAATGCAATTGTTGAGATAGTGTGTATAGATATGAAAATATTTTTATAAAATCTAAGCTGCTGAGCACAGCTGATGCATTTTCACATAGCATTAGTAATCTTACTCGCTCCCCAAGACTCAGACTTCAAACAGAATTCTTATGAAATGAAACCAAACGTCTATTACCTTCTCTAGGATGCTTTCTTTTTGCTCTGCCTTGAAATCTTCCTTTTTCACTTTGAAGGATTTATAAAGCAGCTCTAATTTTGTAGGGTCTGCTTGAAGATGAACTTCAGAGCCTTTGTCATAAGCCTCCCAAGCAAACACTGTGTACACAAGAGATTTCACTCAGTATTTCCTCTAAAACCGACACGTGCATTCAAATTACAATCTTTAATTCTGCAGTAATGTGAAAGAAAGCCTCAGTCTAAAAAGTTTTAGTTCTCTTTTGCAAGAAAGAACTATTGTTAACGCATATTTTCCTTTAAAAACCCCAACCAAAACCCACTTACGCTGAGTCTGTGCCATTGAAATGGTATCTCCAGTGTAGCGAACAAAGTTGTCACCTGCATAACCAACCCTGCAGGAAAGAACAGTATCATTCTTGGCATTCAAGTAACATGATTTCCTTTTCAATACAATCACGGAACTCCAACAGGAAAGTAAAAATTCCCCTTTGTGCCCTGAGAGTTAAGAACAGAGGGAAAGGAAGGAGCATTCACAACTCAATACACCAAACGCAAGTCTAGGCCTCCCACGGAGTCACGGAAGTATTAGGCAGTAACTGGGAATACTCGATGCCTGTTTGTATGGCAACACCTTCTGACCCAGACCTGGAGCTCTGTCTGGGACACCAGGCACCGTGAGTCAAGCTTGGATCTAATTACACAATAAATATGCATGAATGGTAGGTGATACTCCAGCGTAGTGATTCTCAGCTTTTGGATTTGTGAATCTTTCCTCCTCCCCAGACTCAGTGTATTTTACTGGGCTAAAGCCCAGTACCAGCTTTACTGCTCTCGGTCACGTTTTGCACACCCCTTCCAGAGATTCACAATGAGTATACGAAACACAGGTTGAAGATCAAGTAATGTTAACAAACCAGCTTCCCACACTTCTCATCTCCCACTCTGAAAAATTTACAGTCTGAATCTGTGTTTCTGCCACAGCACTGCAACAAAGGTCAAATTACGACTCTGGAAAGAAGTGAAAGCATCTGCATCATTAAAAAAAAAGAACTGACTAGCATTATTCTAGCTGGGGGGCAAGGAGAGGTGGAAAGAGCATTATTTACTAGCCTTTGGCCGCTGCCATTCTATTTCAGGCAGCAATCTAATCCAATCAGTGCACTCTAAATAGATGTTTCTGCTCACAGACTGTCTACTCTGCATGTCCACAGCCCTGCACAGGTCACGGCGGGGTCGCAGCTCAAGTGGGGTTTATGTGAGGCAGCCTTCCGTGCAGCCAAAAGCCAGCCTATGGCATTCTTTAACTAAGTTGTCTATCCAGACAATGCCAAAGCTTTCAGACCTTTTCTATGCAGGCTCCAATAATATATGAGAAGCCTTTGCTCCTAATTCAGGCATTTAATTAGGTACCACAGGTACTTCATGCCACTCTCCGGTGCCGACTGCCTCCCAACAAACAAGGGATGAAGTGTAAGCCTTGGTTACTGAAGTACTTCACATAAACATCATTGCTGGTTACAGGTATCGCCTCTAGATACAGCAGTGTTCTAATCCTTGCACAGATGATGACACTAGATGGTGGTCCGCAGATTAGGAGCCAGTATTACTAAAATACTGCTTTTATACACTAAACCAAAAACTGCTGCTGAATAACAGGTTTTTTCCATGTTTACTACTACTTCTATCCATAACCGATGAGAAAATCATTAGTAAAGTGACACACAGATAAAAAATACAAAGCGACCAATCTCATTTTTAACAGAGGTTTGTTGGATACACAAGCATGACCCGGTTTCAACTTACTCATCTGGATTCTTGCCTGTGTTGGCATACGGGTTCTCCCTCATTGCTCTTGTTTTGGGATCATAATAAGCAGAGTTTGGATCTAGATTCCTCAAGTACTATGGAAAGAAAACAACATACAAGATATTTGATATTTATAATTCTAAAAGAACTGAAGTTACTACAGTATCCCCCAGCTCAGACACTTTCAAAAGGTGTATCTGTGTGAAAGTATGACCTTGTCATCACATGAGCAGGAATAGGACTGACAACAGGCCTTAACCTCTAAACCCCAAGACCCACATGCAAATTCATTAATAACTGAATGTACAATTTTTTGAAATTAACTCTCATGAATACAGAAGAGCACCTGTAAAGAGTTTTTTACTCACTTTTGCAATATCTTCCCGAATACGTAAATTTCGAACCGTGATACGTCTTTTAGAGTCAAAGTTCTGCCCAGGCATATCAATGTCATCTGCATATTTATCTTCATCTTCATCTTCACTGTTGTGATCTCTTTCCTGAGGAGAGATGGGAAACTTCTAGGTAAGAGGACATTCACTCTAGAGACAAGTACGAGAATCTGATTTTAGTCATTTCATTAAAAATACCGCAATCCCTGCCGTTAGAAGTTAGCAGCATTTAGTTGGTCTTAAGTCTGCTGTCATGCAGGTAACATGCTAATCTAACATTCAACACTTCTCAGAAATACTCGTTAAAGGATTTCCATTTCCTCATATGGAAACAGTTACAAGACCATAATCTTGACAATATTAAAGAAACAGCTGTCTTGGGCAAAATATACCACATATTAAAAATTAGTTATTTGTTTGCACCTCTAAGGTTAGACAACACGCAGGAGTTCAAGTCAAACCCCCCTCTATGACATTCAACAACCTCTGCTCCCAAAAAACAGGCAGCCAGTGGCATGAACCCAATGCTGAAACCCTTATGCCACCCTTGTTTCACTGTTCGTTCTTCCGCCCCCAGCGTGATGCAGTGAGTAACCATCTTACTGTCTGTGAATTTGGTTCCTCTTCTCCCCACTGGTGTCTTGGGGAGTTCTACATCAAACAAAGAGCACATCAGCAGAGAAGACAAGATAGTGGAGAGAGGAAAGGTAACAGGGAGATAAAGAGCAACCAAAGCAGAGTGCAAAATACCATTAACCTGTGGCACAAAATGCACAAAGACTGCTGTGTTTTGAGTGTTCTAGGGAAGAGCCTGTAAGTGTCTCTATTACGGACGCACGTTGGAAACCTTTTCACTGTCTTCCCAACTACATTTCCAAGCCTCTGCCAGAACGGCCAATTCTAGAGCTGTCACTGTTATTTAGAGCTTGCTATGCCTTTGAACGCTAGTGGTTTAGGCTAGAACATTTCATATCATGCAAATAAAAACAATATTTGACCGAAACCTTAAAAAGAAATAATCAAGAAGATATGCATATGCACGTATTCAGTTAGGATTGACAGGAATACTGAGCACGAATCAGAAACCATCATTTAATCTGGAGAAACATATCCAGAATTTGGTTTTTTTTTAACCTACTTAGCCTCCAACTGGAGAATACTTGCAGCAGTAGAGATGGAAACAACTGTGAGTCCTGGAAGACTGACAGGCAGACTGGCCAGCACTGACTGTGCCCACTGGCATCAGCCCTGATCCTCTCCATCAGAGACAGTTCTTGTATTTCAAACACACTTTTCTTCCTTCGGCTCCACAGCCCAAGGACTGAGTATATGAAACCAACAATGTGGCCTTGTGGTGAAAACAGACACAGCAAGGGAAAGACTCTCTTCTATGGGGAAGGCCAGAACGCTGTAGTTTGTGCTGGGTTATAGCTTGAACTCCCTCTGCCATCTAGTGACAAAATGCAACGTGACAACCTCTGGAAAATCGAAGCCCAATTACATAGTCTTGATTGGTGGTTTCCTTCTTACGGTATTGATTAAAAGACTTACTTGTGACCAGTAGGAATCTCTGCTTTTTCCCGTTTTATGAACTTAGAACATTATCAGAAATGCCTTTTAAAATTAGAATTTTCTAAGAACAGCTTGTAGAAGTTAACGAAACTGCAGTTCGAAGCCAGAGGGAAATACATATGCTCAGCCTTCAAATAACCAGAGACACTGCAACAGTCGTAGCAGTGACTAAAGGAGCAGCAAGTCTAGTCCTAAGATAAAGAAAATACTTTCCTATTCCAGCTTCTACTAAGCATTACTAAAACAATGCAGTCATGTAATAGTCGCTACCTCTACATTAGTCAGAGGTAACAACCCTTAAATACAAAACAAGGATTTTAGTACATAAAACTACTATATGGAAAACAAGTTTTTCTGACCAAAAAATCCATGCCATCAATTTTAGCAAGAATAATAATCACAGAGAATTTTTGCCCATAAGGGAAAAACAAAACCACTCTCATTTGAAAGGAGATGCTTCAAAATTCTTAAATATGACAGAGAATATGCTGGTGCTATGAAAATCTTCAAATTACTAATGAGCATAAAAACCAATAGCAAACCCTGTGCACAGAATAAAAGCATCAGAGAGCAGAAGTAACTTGCTGCATTATTTTTTTTTAGCCTAAACAAAAATAAATTAGGTTTATTTACTTACCACTCGCCCCAGCTTTCCTGATGCTAACTCTTCCTGAAGCTTCTGGGCTTTCAGCGTACGTTTGGCCTGCGATTCATGAAAATGCATTTGCTTTAACATTTCCTTCTAATAGCAAGCATGTAGTAATACTTATCATAAGCATCTCTGGTGACTGCTGTCATTTAAAATGTACTCCTTGTTATAAAAAATGAGGTTTTAATTCTCTGGTTGCTTGTAAAAAATCAGCAACCCAGAGCTTCACTCCTCCACTCCTATGCTTTACCATTGTTAGTGGTTTTTGAGCTTCCAAGAAAGGAAGCTAGATATACACTAACCACTTCACTGTCCGATACTGCACTCTCAAATGAAACAGTTTACCAGAGCCCATGAAGCTACGCAATACCTACGTGCATCCTAATTTAAGAGATAAACCTACTGAACTACAAGAAGCTAAGACAAACATGTTTTATTATTGTGTCCTCGTGATCCAGTTGGGAACTGACTGATGCTGCAAGCATCTACGTTTCATGCAGGAAGCAGCAAGGTCTAGCACCTAAAGGGAGATTCTAAAGCAGCACGCAGTGGATGTTTTTATGTGTCTGACATCACAGAACACATGATATGGAGATACCTCTGGAGACCGCCAAGGACAATCTCCCTGCTCAAAGCAGGCTTGCTCACTACAGATTGCCCTGGACTGTGTCTGTGCAGGTTTTGATTACGCCAAGAATGGAGACTCTCCAGCCTTATTGGGCAAGCTCTTCCGCTGTCTCATCACCCTTACAATAGAATGCTTTGTTCTTCTGTTTCAACAGAAATTCTTGTATTTCAATTTGTGCCCACTGCTTCTACTATCTAGTTCTGTCACTAGATAGAATTGAGAAGAGTCCGGCTCTGCCTTCAAATATGCCGCTCAGTCACTTATACAGACTGATTAGATCACATTTAGCGTTACTTTTCATACGCACTATAGAAAAATACTGAGGACCAGGCACTGAAGGCAGTTAGTTACACACCTGACTACCTTTTGGAACTGGCCTCACAGCCAGCCAAGGCAGTGAAATATTTTTTATTTCCTTCTAAGAAGTTGAGAGTGTCCACATGAATTTGGTGCATAGAGATAGTCAACTGCAACAGCAAGGTGCCAATCTGCACAGAGTCACACATCTCCATTACGGTAACTAAAAGGATTCATAAGTAAAACAGTATGAATGAGGTTACAAAACGGGTAGGGATTTATTAGCTCTAATACAGCCAGATAACAAATTCCTTTCTTGCCTGCAATTCAATCTGCATCTTGGGTAATAAATTCCAAGGCTTGTTTACTAAAAAGTAAGCGATCTGAAGAGACATTTCTACTGTGCAGACCCATACTCAGTTGCGAGTTCTTATCTGAATTTTCAGTTTAAGCCAAGTTTGCTATCAAACACAGAATCCACCTTGCTTTTTCATTATCAATACAGCACAAGGTCTATTAGAATCACTAGGTTGGAAAAGAC